GCTTCTGCCTTCGTGCCACCAGTACATTATATAATGTAGTGAATTCGAGATCGTATTTTAAAATAAATTGCTAATTTGGTTACAATATTTTTCAAACAATCAAACTTCAGTGGAGCCATCTAGATGTATCCTGTAAAATTGCTTCCTAACAAAGTATCCAGGCTCTTGTTCATAACCATGTGTAATTTACTATAGATTTAAACTATTTTTCGCTCCAATTTCCTGCAAATGTTGGTATTGGATATAAGCTGGCGTTATTAATATTAACTTTAAATTTTGATGTGTACAATCATTGCGAAAATATGATTTGTAGCGTTTTACTCAATGTAATGTATTTGCCGTAAGAGCCATCTACACCATTACATCAACATTTATAAACTGTAGAAGCCTTACGGTTACCAATTAAAGGTCCTATGAATACTGTATTTTTTATATTAAAATTATTCACACCATCGCTATATACTGTAAATTAGAAGGTAGTTGAAAGAATTAAAAACTTTTTGGAAGAAGATTTTTTATGGAGTTTTTAAGATATTTTGTGACGACATCTATACACGTAAGAATGAATCCCTATTTTCCTTGGTCACGGAATCGCCCCTAAAATGCTGGACCGATTTCCCTTTTTTTACGGTCTGTAGAAGGTTGTCAGAAATAAAATATAGATGGATCTAAATTAAATTTAACACAGATGTAAAGTATAGTGTCGAAGGTTATTAATTAATTTTTATTACAAAAAGCATGGAGCTTTTTCGTGATGGTTATGAAATAAAAATAACTCAAACCATTTCTTGTATGGAGAGGGTGAAAAGGCAGGGGAAGTGGACTAAAATTAGGCTTCCAGTATGATACTTCTTGTGGTGTATGGCTATACATAGGTATAATGTAGGACTACCCACATTATAGTCATGCATTACATTTTTCAGACGAAACGCCGATTTGCTTCAACTTCACCTCTGTTCCTGTCTTCTATGTGGTCGTGGTGTTGCACCGGGCGAGCTTGCCCATTCCTGCAATGATTAGAAAAAAGGACCGACCGCTTTTGGCTGAATTCCATGAATTATTTACTCTGTTGTGTTCTATGTTACAGAAATGGTGCGAATGCAACGTGCACATGTGAATTTCGACTGCTGAGTTTTTTAACATTATGTTCCCTGCGGCTCTCCAAGCAGTTTCTCGTCTGTAAAGAGCTAAAAAGATAAGGAAGCATTGAAGTTGAACCTAATGTATAACACATAATAATATGTAAAATTTGAGTATAAGGGGAAGTCCCCCAGCGCCGGACGGCACCTAGCACCGGACACTTGCATTATTTCGGTAATCGAGTGATTCAAGGACTTATGATAGGGATGCGAGGGAACGTAACAATAAACTCACGAAACGCGATTAGCCTGGTCAACAGCGGGCTCGGTTTATTGATTTTTTTTTTGATGAAAACAGTGCGTCACGGAACATTCCGATGTGTGCTACAACGATTTCTAATATATTTCTAGAATGCAATTTAATTATTCACACGATTCTCTGTGCCCTACTATAAAACACAGAAAAGTCCCCTGACGCCGGATATTGAACATGTATTATTTTTCCCTTCAGGATTGTTTTTTTTTATAGTAATTAGTTCAGAAGATTTGAGAACGAAGCAAAAGTGTAACGGAAGCAAATAAAACAAAAGGAAATTGGGACCAAGCAAGTTTACTAAATGCGCTTATAAGTTGCAAAACCCAAAGGAAAAAAGGAAAAGTATGCTTATAATAAAATATAAAACCGACAGGTAACTAAAGTTAAGGAAATACAGACTTTAAGTGTTATACTGCAATAAAAAAACTACAGATTCACCTTCAATGAATTAGCGCACAATTGTTATTTTCTTCTTTGACTGTGTATTATGTCGCCTAATGATAAGTTTTAATTTAGAAATTAATAATCGAGACTACGAATAAATATTGCTATCGAAATATCCTTTCATTTAAAATAAATAAATAAGTAAAATAAAAACCTCTTTATTGCCATCCAAGAATACACAGAGTTGTACAAAATAAAAAACGTACATGAAAAAATTATAACAGATGGCAAAAGGGGGAGGCTTAGCTTAACCGATACTGGTTGAGATCCAGTGTCGAGCTGGTTTTCAGCGACCCCCCTTCCCAAGATGTAAAAGGGAGCGTAGATAGTCGGAGGTCGCTGTACACTAGTAATAATAAAATAAGCTTAATAACCATAACAGATTTATCAATCTAAAGAGAGAAAAAATTTGCATTCTTCTAATAAACAACTATTTATTATACCTTTTTAAACATCCAAAAAGGCCGCAAACTAGAAAGTAGTCACTTGCTGTCCAGTAACTGGTACCCACAGACAACAGTAACAATCTTCTATACATACATATAATAAAATTGGAATGTCTGTTTGTAATATCAAAAGAAAAATTCCGGACTTCGGGAAGATGATGTTTTTGCGTTGCTGATAACGAAAATCGCATTTCTAAAATTTTTGTCTGTATGTCCTCAACCGCGTTTGTTCCGGGTAGTCTCCGAAACGGCTGGGCAGATTTCGATCGGATTTTCACTGAAGGGTTGCTGACATAGACGGGCATATTATAGGCTACTTTTTTTTATCTCAATATTGCATATACGTAGTCGCGAGCAGCAGTTACTATTATTCCTAATAAATGCGTTGTTATAGGCAACACACGATATAATATTTTGAGCACGTCGATAATCATTAAAATCACTACCAAAAAATTATAAATCATGTGCACCATAGAATTGACGTAATAATCGCAGTCAAAGTTACTCGATGGCACATCTATGTAAGACTGCGTAAAACATTTCAGTAAAAAAGTGACTGAAACATAAATGTTTGTCACCCATGTTATAGACAAAAGGTTCTATTTCCTAGTCATACTTTCCTGACTATACAAGGGCGAAAAGATCAAAAGAGTTATAGCTTTTGTTATATCCTGAGTAACCGTAAGCAGGCATACCATTCATCTAGTTATGTATTATTTTATTTATCCTGTCGTTTTGTATAAATACTTGCGAACAACTCTTCAAAGCGCCATCTTTTGACAAATTCACCAACTCGTATCCTGCTCTGTATTCCTGTTACTCTATGAGGGTAAATATTTTTGCGAATTTTGGCTAGAGGACTCCGTATGTCTATTAGATAGAACTGTCCAAGATAATGCTTATAGCCTTAGTGTTAGAGTAATGTTAGTTTATAATGTGTGATCACATAGGAAAGTAATAATCTTTTATCTGCTTTTATACTTAATATTATAAAGAGGATGTGCATTTTTGTATGTATATATATATTTCAAAAACTAATGGGCCGATTTTAAAAGTTCTTTTCACCATTAAAATGCTTCGTTATCAGTGAGTAACATAGGCTATGTTTATTATTTTGTAACTTTACGCGGACAAAGTCGCGAGCGACAGCTAATAATAAATAAATGCGGCGAGTAAGCAGTCTCTAACTAAACATAAATTATTTAAAAAGGTGAGATTTTTAAATTACCTCTCCATTTAGCACTTTTATTCGTAACTCATAATTTTATTCACAGGTATTTACTATACAATATTTTATTAGTGACCGTTGACACCTGACTTAACAGACATTTTCCTTAGTACTTTTTTATTAATAATGCAGGTTCGTTATGATCTGCCAGTAATTTAAACCTTAGTTTCTATATCCCATGGGTTTATCAGGACACTGGTCCCTCATGAAATCCCAGGACAAAACCCGACTCTTTCGAGATTAATTCGATTAGGCCAGCAAGCGGACTTTGGTGAGTGAAGTCTCGCATAGTTTTCTTTTCCCACCCACAGATGGCAGTACTTGTATCCTTAATAGCAAAATTGAATTTTTGTTTAGCTCTAGACTAGGTAATTTAATTCCTAATTTTTTTAACATTAGTTGATTTTTCCTTTACTTTGTATTTAACCATTTGTATTTAGCTTTGAATTCGTAAAAGGTTTACCAGATAATTTCTTTGATAAAGAGTTACTAATAGTTTTAGCAGTAGAGATATGATAACTACCGCTTTCATTACTAACAATGGTAAGCAGAAAGTATTATCTTTTGGTATTTGACGTAGATAAGAATTGCCTTTTTTAAATTACACAGGATGGTTATTTCAACAAAGACCCACATCGGATTTTTTTAATAAACAGCTGTACGAAAATCTAAAAAGAAGAACGTTAGTTATGAATGTGGAGGGGTACACCGGTAGACCTAGAAAGAAAAGGATGGATTGCGTGAAAGGTGAAATGATCAAGAAGGGAGTGATGATTGAGATGGCGTGTGATGGAGGACAAAAACCTGTTACGGCGACACTACGGGAGTAAGACAACGAGGAAGATGATGAGATGTACCAAGATCTAAAAAAAAACAAAATATATTTTAACAATCACAGTATCATTTTTTATTACCTTTACCTCTTTGCTTATAATATTTAACTTAACTTACCGGGAAGTAATTCGGATAAAATGCTGCCTTCTGTACGGTACAGGAATAAATATTACAACAGTTTACTTCGTGTTTTGAAAACATTTCGTAACACACGTTTTACGTTAATAAAATATTAACAGCTGTTGCGTATTTGTTACGAATACGACGAATATTTAACACTACCTAAAGAAAACAGGCGTGAAGTGGAAGCAATTCAGTGTTTCGTCTGATGAGTGTGGTGACGGAGGCCTAATTTAAGTCCCATTCTCTTTACCACCCTTTTCTTATAAGGAGAGGATGGGAAGGGGAAGTGGATTTGACGGTGGAGGAGATGCATTGGAAGGGGAAATATCCTCTTTATGCGCGTCTCCTCTTCCGTCGGATAAAGGTAAGCAACGCATCTGCAATTGCGAATGTCTATGGGCAGTGGTCGCTTCGCCATTTTGGCGGACTTAGGTGGCCGCTTGCTCGTTTGCCACCTTATGTTATAAAAAAAAACCTTTCTACGACTTCGCATAGAATTAAAAAAAATAGTAAAGAAAATAGCTTATGTTATTTAGTGGTCATGTAGCTATTTACTGATACAATAATTTTTGAAATCGACTCAGTGGTTTTTGAGTTATTTCAATGCATACAAAAATACAAATTTTCTTCTTTATAATGTTAGTATAGATGAGAAACAACGATATTAATGCAACGCCGAGAGAATATAAGGTTTCACGTGAGCAAGTCGTAGTGTCTAAAAGTATTTGGCTAGATTATCCCAATAGAAAGCAGTGGTAGAAGTCTTTAGCACTGCATTAAGGGAAAGGGTTCAATTTGTGAACACAACGATAATCATTGACCAACTTTAAAAAACAAAACCGACTTCCAAACAAAATACACTAAAAACAAAACAAAATGCACTAAAAACAAAACAAAATATTCTCAAAAAAACAG